CTCCTAAAGCGGTACGACTGTGCAGCAGTGTGCACACACACCCCCCGGCTGCAGTCAGCTGAGAGGAGACTGCTGCGAATAAATCTTGCATGTGCAAAGTTTCTACTGCTCTTGCCTTGTTTCTAACGTGGGATATAATATTTAATGTAATGTTGTTTTTTTTTCCCTGATACTGTCTCTCTTAAATAAATCTCTGGACCCAGCTGTGTTTAACTCACAGATCAGTCACTGCTTCACCTCGTCCTCCCTGTGCATCGTGATATCTAACAGTCTGCAGGTTAAATTTAAGATTATCACTAATTTAGTTTATGTAATGTGGATCTAAGCATTAAAGTCATACAGTTATTTTTATTACATTAATTTAATTGCAGTTTTAAACATATTTAGTGTTTTCCTTCACTTTTTTTCTCTTTAACATCTCTCCGATCAGATCACAAACAAATCTTACTTATAAAACAGACTGATTTATTGTTTCTGTTTGTTGGAAAATTCTTGAGAAGACATTAAAAAAATAATCGCATGTTAAATCGCAATTTATAGATAAAAAATCGCAATTAGATTATTTTCCAAAATCATTCAGCCCTAGTGGTAAGTTAAAAAATTCAAACATGAATTAATGATAACAGATTATTGCATCAATCTACCTACCCCAAAGTGTATAAATTCACTGATTAGTATTATATTAATGGCAGTTTGTTCTCAATCTAAACTTATTGCTTTGAGGACAAGGTTTTGTGCTTGTCACTGTCTTATTAATAAAAAAATAATTCATTACATATGTACAGTATAAGTCATGGTTGTGACTTGAGAGTAGGAAGTGAAAGGTCAGTGTACCCACTTCTATAAACTAGACTACAGCTTCAAATTGCAGCGTCTTGCATGGCTGCTGGACCCGGGGCACCTGTTCTCTTGAATGGGTTGTTTCAAACTGTAATTTCCCTTCATGGGATCAATAAAAGTATCCATTCATTCATTCATTCATTCATTCATTCATTCATTCATTCAAATAGTGGAGATGGTCTGTGCTTTAATTGGATAACTATTGCATTGCAGCTAATGCTTTTGTCTGCTGTAATCCACGATTTTCTGTAAGAGTATGTAGGCTGCCATGACGCTAGTCCCGCACCCCGGTTTCCTATTTCCGGTACACAAAGCTAGAACCAGAAATTCATTCATTCAGAAAGTCATGATAACAACAAAAACCAGTTTGTTTTTACTTTCACTGGCAGCTTGAGCAGTTCAGTCACAAGTTCGGGTTCAGCTGGTGTTTTTTTTCGGCTGCCACAACAATTGAAGAAAACTGAGAAATGCTTTAGAAACATGGAACAAGAAGTAGTAAAGGCATGACCACGCCCATTGCCCTACGCACTGCACTTTATGCTAACAAAAGAGGATCACAAACTAACATGGCAGCTTTAGATCTCAAAAACCCACAGAATAGTTTGTTTGCTCTTTTCATTTTATCAACAAAACTCCCACATACACCCCGATTCAGAGCTCTATTTGGGCTAAGACTGGCTACCAAAGGTAGGTCATCTGGACCACTGTGAGTCAGACAGCTTTCAGCAAAATCAACAAAAACTCTGAATCTGTGCCTGATGAGTGAAATTGTATATGCGGTTTGTCCCCGTTTCACTATTTCATCATACAGTTCTTAGCTAAATGAAAGCCTACAGTGAATGGTGTTAGTGTCACTACTAGTTAGCCTAGTGTTAGTCTGGATGTTAGCATGTTATTTGCATGTAAGTCTCAAATTTAAAGAAAATTAAGCCTATGGTTAGTAGCTGCATGCTGGCAAAACTACAGTTAGGTCCATATATATTTGGACAGAGACAACATTTTTCTAAGTTTGGTTCTAGACATTACCACAGTGAATTTTAAACAAAACAATTCAGATGCAGTTGAAGTTCAGACATTCAGCTTTAATTCAGTGGTTTGAACAAAATTATTGCATAAAGATGTGAGGAACTGAAGCATCTTTTAAAGACAAACTCTTCATTTTAGAGGCTCAAAAGTAATTGGAAAGATTAAATAATTGTAAATAAAATGTACATTTCTAGTACTTGATTGAAACCCCTTTGTTGACAATGACTGCCTGAAGTCTTGAACTCATGGACACATGGATGTCATAACCATTTTAAAAGTGCCATTTCCTGCATTCTGGTGTATTTTATCAGGTTCTTAAAATACTATTACATACATAAATAAATAATTGATTTAATTATTTCAGAGACAGATTCATCATTAAACTAGTTCTATCATTTTGTTTTTAACTCACTTCTTTAGCTGAGACAAGGTTAATTAATGTTACACAATTTAACATCCAGTGACTTTAGGGGTGCCTTTTACTTTCATATTGTTTATTCTTGATTTATTTTAAATTGTAAAATGTCATTGTGCCAATAAATGACCATTAACTGCATGTTTAAAACTAATAATAACTAGATACCGCATAGCGGTAACATAATGACCCCCACACGCAGAAATGCACCAGAACTCAGAAGTCTTTATTCCCAATAAATGTCATGCTATAGGTGCAAAAATTGTAGTGGTTTGGATGGGGGTCTTTTTTTGGAGGGGGTGGGCATTGGTTGACCTGATGGATAGCCCCTCATCAGAGCTAAACAACAAAAGAAATCTGAAGCTCCTATGTTCAATAGTTTTTGAGCAATCACCCCTTTTGTAAGTCCAGGCACCCCTTTTTCAGAGAAATTGGGGGTCTGGGGAGTGGGGGGCACTGATTGGTGGGCCTGATGGATAGAGCTTCATCAGAGCTAAACAACAAAATAAATCTGAAGCTTCTAAGTTGAACAGTTTCTGAGTTATAAGCATTTTTTCATGTCCAGACCCCACTTTTCAGATAAATTGGGGGTGCGGGGGGTGGGGGGCACTGATTGTTGAGCCTGATGGATAGAGCTTCATCAGAGCTAGACAACAAAAGAAATCTGAAGCTCCTATGTTGAACAGTTTCTGAGTAATAATCATTTTTGCATGTCCTGTCACCCCCTCTTTGAAAAGAGCCCCCTCCTCAAATATGGGGTCTATCGTAAAACCGCTGGCTGGCGCAATGTAGGTCAGACTCATCTACAATCTTGCCAAATTTCATGTTGATCGGTAAACAGTACAAAAACAGTATGACTCCCGCTTACGCTTCGCGTGCGTGGGTCATAATAACTTTACCCAGTGAACAGGTACAATACTCATAACCACCAACAGTGAATTTAGAGGGGCATTTCACTTTTTATGATTTAGTGATAGGTCTACTCATAACCAAAAGGAACAGGGCATCATGCATCCTTCAGAACATAAAATGACACTGTTATGCTGCTGACAAAAAAAAATCAAATAAAACAAAAAACATTTGTTTGTTTTGTCAATCTGCATGTAATTATTAAAGCAAAAATAGGTCTACAGGTTCCTTTCTACCCTGATACCACCTCAAAGTGAAAATTTTAATAAGCCCATAATTTTTTTCTGTTCAAAATATAATAAAATTCATTATAATCATGTTGTACATTATGCCTTTAAATCAATAATGTATTTCATAAACTTTACACAACTGTCTAGAATGGATTTAAAATAAATACTGATTTGAGTAAACATTTTAGATTTTATTCATAATTTCCCATCATCATCATCATCATCATCATCATCATCATCATCATCATCATCATCATCATCATCATCACTCACCTGAGCCACAGAACTCTGTCCCCATCTGCTGATGACCCTGACTCTCATCAGCTCCTGCATCACATGACGATGGATTAAACATTAGTTGTTTTTTTATTGCCAGCTGAAGTCAGTTAGCTTTAAAAAGTCAGAAAATATCATGAAATGTGATCAGTAAATAACAGATGACTAAGTGGTCTGATTTCATTATTGATTGTGAGTCAACAGTCTCTCCATCTGATTATTAAAGTTGTCAGACATGAACCAAGCTCTATTTTATGCTGAAACTTTTCTAAGATTCTAAGATAGAAAAAACTACTCTCAATATGTTTTAGAAAGCAATCATTTTATACTTTAATTAAAAACACCCAATAAACTTCTGATTTGATTATTTTAGTCCTACTGATAATATCACCGGCTGATCACTCTGTACTTTAGCAGATGCTGTAAATTACAGCAATAACTGGTCGTGATATGTAAGCTAGCAGTAGCCAGAAGCTAACTGCATTAACTTTACACAGGATAAATCTGTACTATGGAGAGTTTAACTTACTTTATTTTTCTTTGTAAAACATCTCCTAATGTTGTGTTTGTCTGTGGAGGGATACAATCACACACGCTGCCTTCTATTAGCAGCTAGAAGTTAGTTTTAGGTTGAATATTTGCGCTCCAGGAGTGCATAGGGTTGGGTATTGAAAGGGTTTATTTCGATACCGGTGCCAAATCGATACTTTCAAAATGGTACCGGTTCCTAAATGGTATTTAAATCGGTACTTTAAAAATAAATAAATAAAACACACACACTCACACAAAGGTTTATGAAGCAATAACTATTTCTGCGTCAAAGTCAAACTTGAAATTGACCAACTTATTAACTTAAAATCATTAATCCTTTGTCTTTGCACCAAATATTCTTAAAGCATTTGTTGTAGGTGGAAGTTTCTGCATCATACTGTATTTTGTAAAGTGACACGACACTTTGGGCAATTTTGCTTTCGACATCTCGACTATAATATATAATAATATATATATATTATATGTAGTTATATATTATATAACTGTTAACTGCAGCAGCACCTGTTCAGCCCATCTCCATCAGTTCTACTCAATTCACTTTGGGTCGGGTCGGTTCTGCTCAGTGTTCGTGTGTCTCCACGCAGTGGGTGTGATAATGTGCAGACCGTCCGCAGCGGCTTCAACTATTGTTAAAAATAATCATAAAATGAAAAGGCTGTTGTGGTCTTACCGTTCAGACTTCACTTTTATTTGTTTATTTATTTTCACGGTGCTGTTTAGCTAAGTGCTTGTGTAACCGTGCGGCAAGTATGCTGAAAACCACCCGTGATCTGCTCAGCTTCGTCTCATTCACTTCTCTCCAGGAAGTGTTTACAAGTTCTGCCTTTTTTAAAAAGACCGTTTTATTTCACCATGTTGTCATAATGCGCCGCAGGCTTGTTCCTAAACAAAATCAGCTCTCTCCAGTAGGAAATTTGCTGACAGTCCAAGAGTTAATCCATGGGCAGAATTCTGCTGATGTCAAAATCATAAGCGTGCTGTACTCGCTTCTACCCAAACCAGGAGGCTCTGAGACAGCGCGGCTGTGGAGCGTGCTTGGAGAGGCGCATTGGGCCGAGACCAAGCCGAGTCGAACCACATACAAGAGAGTCCATGGAGATCGTGTGCAGCGGCTGTCACTCTTAACAGTGAACACCAGAGGAGGCAAATTAACAGCTTTTTTTGAGGCACCGAATTAAAGCACCGAAGTTAGAGATGTGTTTTGGTCTGTGTACTACCGTGGACATTTGCCCCGGTGCCATAATAGAACCGAGTTTCGGTACCCAACCCTAGGATTGCAGGAAGTCCGACACCGGTCATGTAACTTCCGGCTGCTCGCTCCCAAAGCCGCTCCTACCTGCAGGCTGCAGTGCTGACTGGTTGGAGGTTACCAGGAAAACCTGGAGCGTGATGAGTTTTCTTCTGTCAATCAAGTGGAATGGATTCTTTCATCAAGTCACCTAACAAAAACAACGCTGTGTGAACTGATGAGATGAATGTGGAGGGGTCCAAACAGATACTTTTGAAAAGTGGGGTGACACGTTCCCTTCACCTACTATTGTTACGACGCCTATGCATGGACATCACCAGATGCTGTATCCTCCTTTTTAATGCTCTGCCAGGCCTTCACTGCAGTGGTTTTCAGTTGCTGTTTGTTTGTGGGCCTTTCTGTCTGAAGTTTAGTCTTTAACAAGTGAAATCCATGCTCAATTGGGTTATCAGGTGATTGACTTAGCCATTCAAGAATATTCCACTTCTTTGCTTTAATAAACTCCTGGGTTGCTTTGGCTTTATGTTTTGGATCATTGGCCATCATTTCATACTACAGATGGACAATCATTTTGGCTGCATTTGGCTCGATCTGAGCACACAGAATGGCTCTGAATATCTCAGAATTCATTTTGCCGCTTCTGTCCTGTGTCACATCATCAATAAACACTAGTGTCCCAGTGCCACTGGCAGCCATGCATGCCCAAGCCATCCCACTGCTCTACTGTGTTTTACAGATGATGGGGTATGCTTTGGATCATGAGCTGTACCACGCCTTCACCATACTTTTCTCTTTCCATCATCCTGGTAGAGGTTGATCCTGGTTTCATCTGTCTAAAGAATGTTCTTCCAGAGCTGTGCTGGCTTTTTTAGATTTTTTTTTTTTAGCAAAGTCCAATGTAGCCTTTTTATTTTTGATGATTATGGGTGGCTTGCACCGTGCAGTGAACCCTCTGTATTTACTTTCATGCAGTCTTCTCTTTATGGTAGATTTGGATATTGATACGCCTACCTCCTGGAGAGTGTTGTTCACTTGGTTGGCTGTTGTGAAGGGGTTTCTCTTCACCATGGAGACTATTCTGCGATCATCCACCACTGTTTTCCGTGGGCGCCCAGGTCTTTTTGCATTGATGGCTTCACTAGTGCTTTCTTTCTTTCTCAGGATGTACCAAACGGTAGATTTTGCCACTCCTAATATTGTAGCAATTTCTTGGATGGGTTTTTTCTGTTTTTGCAGCTTAAGAATGGCTTGTTTCACATGCATGGTGAGCTCCTTTGACCGCATGTTTACTTCACAGCAAAACCTTCCAAATGCAAGCACTACACCTCAAATCAAGTCCAGGCCTTTTATCTGCTTAATTGAGAATGATATAACGAAGGAATCGCCCACACCTGTGAAATATCTTTGGAGTCAATTGTCCAATTACTTTTGGTCCCTTTAAAACCAGGGTGGCACATGTTAAGGAGCTGAAACTCCTAAACCCTTCATCCAATTGTAATGTGGATACCCTCGAAAGCTGAATATCTGGACTTTATGTCCATGTGTATTATATAACTATAACTTGAATATGTTTCAGTAAACAGATAAAAAGACAACATTTGTGTCAGTGTCCAACTACAGGTGCTGGTCATAAAATTAGAATATCATGAAAAARTAGATTTATTTCAGTAATTCCATTTAAAAAGTGAAACTTGTATATTATATTCATACATTACATACAAACTCATATATTTCAAATGTTTATTTCGTTTAATTTTGATGATTACAAATG